AACGTAACAGCAAATGTACCTGATGATGACAAAAACCTTGTTGAAACATTGTACGTTTGCTGTTATGTTAAACTTGTATTAAAGTTTTTCTTCATTACCCATTCAAGCCATCTCCAAGCATTATTAGTCTCAAAGTGGTTTCCTTGTCATCAAATTTAAATACATAGAATTTCCTAGATCTCCTGAACATGTTGAATAACATTCTTTCAGTGCAAATCAATTAGTAGTCAATCTCAGCATTGCCAAAATCACACTTTGTGTCAGAACAGTCTCTGTCAAGATCAAAATGGAATAGACTAATAAAAAGTATCCTATTCCTTGCTCTGAGAAGTTTCCGTCAACACAGAAACAAAATTTTGGGATTTTTATTTAAAATTTTGAAAGAAGAGATCAAACCCTAAACTTATTCAAAGTTTTATATGAAAAATTTGTGTAGTGTATATTCTCTTGCTACAAAATCATGGAAATTTCTGTACAATCAACTTTGAATTTTGGGATTAAAAACTGGATTAGAACTAGAGCTGGGCATTTAATCTTCTGAGATGATACCACACAGTTAAACTATGTCCCCCATGCTTCTGCCTTAGAGATTTGCTTGTTACTAGCTTTTAATGAACTGTCACATAGTCTCATGAGATTTTCTTGTGAATTGTGAAACTGTATAAGACATCATTATGCAGTAAAAACCCTCCACCAATAGAAGGGTTTGGGAAAGTGTGAAAACTAAGGATGAATGTATTGATGATGGGCAGCCTCAGCCTGTAATTCAATCAAATCAGGAATACCTTGAAAAACTGGGAAAGGAAAGCAGGGAAAAGGCAGAAAAGGAACAGACCATAGTGGAGAAATGAAGGGATTAAGAATCACTTGCAAAAATCTCTAAGGCACAGACTCAAGGTGTAGAAGGAGAGGTAAAGAAGTACGGTGAGAATGATCAGGAAAAGACAGGAGTATTGGGTCTGAAGTGCAAAACTGAAGCCCCCCCCCCCCAAAAAAAAACCAAGCATGAGAGATTCCAAATTTAGGAATCAAGATGGAAAATTCAGAATGATTAAAGTCAAGTAAGTATATTAGAATCCGATAGATGGGAAGAGCAAGGCTTCAGGTTGCAGGAAGGTAATTGGTCAAGGAAAGGTAAAATGAAAATTATTTAGGTGTAGGATTAAGAAGTATAGAACTAGAAGAATAATATGACACAGGGAAAGAGAAAGAATGTTACATACCTGTGAAATTAAGTCCTAAGGGGAAGGAATGCCTGAAGAATTGACTGGAACTGAAAGCTTTGGCTGCATAAGGGAACCCACTACCCTATGCACAATGGCCATCACATCATCCTCAGGCAACTTTCCTCCATAAGCCATAGTTGATACATAATCTGTGTAAAGAAATTATTTACTCACAAGTAGTAGTAGATGTTACATGAAGTAGTGAATTCATAGTTTGTAGTAAAAAAGGAGGAAATTAGGTTGCTTAAACATTTCAAGTCTAGTTAAATTGAAAAAGAAAAATCTTGTCTAATGTGTTCAGTCCTGAGGGAAAAAAATGATTTTGTGCTTGCTGGATTTTCAAAATAGTGATATGTGGTCACTCATTGCACTGTCTCCAGTGAAAAACACTTCCAGCTGAAGGATTGATGGGGATCTCGGTATTTTCTTTGGGTCTCTTCACTGTGAATTACTCCCCTTTTTCTCTTTCAGTGGAGCTCGGGAGACCCTTACCACTTCCTAGTTCCTAGGGTGGTGGACTATGGAAAATCCTCACTGATTGGGACCTAACTAGAACAAGGGGTGCAAATCAGTTAAAAGTGAAGTGGTGGTTACATTGTCACTGTAATGCAGGTTATCCCTCATATAGCTATACTTATAGCATACCACTTGTAATACTGTGCCCTCCTCCTGCAGACATCACCTGTTCAGTTGAGGTGAGCATGCACTAACAAACTGCACCCTCCTCTTGCAGCTCTATGGCATTACTATTATGCCTTCATAGTGCAGCTGGTGTCAGTCCAATAAAGTCTGATGGTAGAGATGAGGTGAGCACAAAGTATGTTCTGAACGCACCCTAATCATGCTACACACATTGGCTCTTCGACCTCTTGTGTGCAAGTACTCAAATGGCCGTGTTCTTATTCCTCCCTAATACCTGGGCAAAGAGTATACCCTGGAAGAGATGAGATGCAATGTCCCACAGGTCTGCCCTTATGCAGCCCTTGCCATCAAGTGTCATAACCATGGGCTTCTTTTTTGCACTTTCTGAAGGGAACTCACCTAAGTAAATCTTTGGACCAGCCCCTCCACCATTTCAGTGTGGTATTCTAGCTTAACTGATTTGGTATCTTCATGGAAGCTAACATTTTCCTTCCCTGAAAATGTATTTGCAATAGATAACTCTGTACACATTCCCACCCATCCTCCCCATTTCTGGTGCACATTTCTTACGTTTCTCGCTAAAGAATGAAGATTCATGAGTTCAAATGCATAGAGGGAATTAGTGATCAAGGAGGTGTGTTGCCCTCTTATTGGTGGAGGGTTTTTGCTGCATAATTATGTCATAGGGCAATTCATGAAAAGATCTCATGAGGTTAGGTGGGAGTTCACTAAAGGTTAGTGGCATGTAAATCTATAAGGCAGAAGTGCAGGGGAGATAGCCTAACTGTATGAATAGGTGAGTATCTATCTGAAGTACGTTTTTAAATAAGGACAATTTTAACTTTAAGATTGTTATTTAGTTATTTATCTAATCATTTATTCTCACATCAGAGTATTTATAGTAATCAAAAACATTAATTGTAATTACTTGATCATTTCCATAAATCATGACACTAATCAGGTAAGCTGAGCAACCTTGAGGTAATCAAAATAATAATAATGAGAAATTATAATGGAAATATTTTTATTACTTAAATAATTGGAATAATCCAAATAGTAATAGAATATATATGGGATTTTAAGTCCTTTTGTAACTCACGAACCTTGAATATGTGAAACTGCAGTCCACAGTGGAGTGTGTGCTAAATCATGTATTAGGTCTTTACATCGCAGATTATATTTCAATTTTGGTGTAATATGTAATATCAAAATAGTTATAATTGGAAATAATACTAATTCAAAGTTGCAGAAAAGCATAAAAATTTCTCCATGATTATATCAAGATTTTAGGATTAAAAACTGTATTAGAACTAGAGCTGAGTGATTAGTGAAATTTCTTAATTGTTTGATTGTGAGGCTTGTTAATTGATTACAATCATCTGGTTGATTATTCTAACAGGAGACTTGAATATTTAGAAATATTGATTGTGATTAGTTGATTACTTCCATGAGTCATGACACTAATAGGTGAAGTTGAACATCCTTGAAATAGAAACAATAATGAGAAACCATACTGACAATATTTTGATTAGTTGATTAATTTTCATAACATTAATCAACTTTATCATAATTTTGATTAATCAAGTTAATTGCCTAACTCTAGTTAAAACTGAAGAAGATGATTTAAGAACATGTTAGGAACAGTAGAACAGAAATGATTAAGATACATAGTGGTTGAGTGTTAAAAAAGTATGTTATCAAAATATTTTATATCCAAATTTTTTGCTTCACATTGTGAAACAAACTAGCACAAAAAATATATTAGTTCATCACCATGGCTTTTGTGCAGTTATTATGAAACGTGGTTTATGTATAGAATTATCTTGTGTATTATTTAGGAATCACGAAAGTTCAAAATTTTAAAGTCTTTATCAAATTAAAGAAAACGATATAAAAATTGTTGCCATACCTTAAAACACAAGAATACTGAAAATTTTGTTTAAAAACAGTATTGATAATATTTTCCTGCAATATTAGATTTCTTCATCTGCTATTGGACTTAATTATGCCACTTCCAGTTCTTAATATGAACAAAATGATGAATTTAAAAAAAGTTGTTTAAAAGATATGGTTAGCAGGTAATAACTTGTTGAAAAACGATTTTGCCAAAATCTTTTGCCAGTTTTGTTGTACATGGTATTCACACATTCATTTGTTTTTAATTTCTGTCATAAACAATTTTTAAATTCTTGTAATACAAAAATCAGAATTTCTCTAGGAGAATATAGTTTTTAAAACCTATACAACATGCACATCATGCTTAAGCTACTTAGTGTAATTAAGAATTAAAAATTCATTAAAGATTGCACCTTAATTTTACCTGTAAAAATGATTTTTTAAGCTGAAACTTCTGTATAATTTTGTACAGTTTCATAAACTCCGAACATTTTTTTTCTTATATAAAAAAATATTTTTAATGATTCTTCTCGAGATGTTTTTTCACAAACCAACGATTACAACTGTCTGTATTTTCTAAAGTTGTCACATACAAACATACAGGAAAAGAAGATAATGTGGTAGCTAGTGAAAAGTATTGGAGTTCAGTAATTTTTTTTCCAAGGTATCAGTTGTTACCTATGTTACTATCCATTCTTGTTTTACATCTCTATTAATTATTAAAAATAGTATTTACACTTCATAATTTGTAGTTGTTTTAGTATGTATAGGTTCATATATTCTTTCTTTTGTTTTCCTTAGAAAAGTGTTAAGAGCTATGCATTTGAAAAATATGACGTGCCAAACGAGTCTGAATATTTAGAAGTGCGTTATTCCGTAAGTGTTTATCAGTTGTATTTCATCTTCTTGAAATGTATTTTGCAAAATCATATTTTTTTTATAAAAATGGAAAGTGAGATAATTTTACATAATTTGCTCATTAATTGCACTTACATTTTGTATTTTAGTAGTTTTTTGCTTTATAATTTTTTCTTTGTTGGTAAGAAAGAGTTAAACTATTTTTCAACTTTGCCTAAATAAAACCCTTTCAAGTGGAACACTTAAATCATTTCTCTTGTGAACAGTAAGAAAAATTTGTATCCAGTTCCTAGACATGTTTGTGATTGTTATCAGTTAATGCCAATGTTTTTGAATATGTGAAAATAAGTCAGACACATTCAAACTTGTAAATGTTTATGAGGGTAATGAATTAGCTGTGGGTTAATTTTTCTAGAGAATCAGTTTTTAAATGATAATTATTAATTTAGGAAATAACTTAGGATATTTAATTGCTATACTTAAAATATGACAAGTATATTTATTGTGTCTGTAGAAAGATATTTTTGCTGGGATGATTGCTTCTTTATACCTTATTTACATAAATGTATATATTTTTTCCCATCAGGCTAGTCTTCCTGCTCTACCTTCAGACTTAAAAGGAAAAACTTTTTCCAACGTATTTGGAACTAACACATCTAGTTTGGAACAACTACTGTTGGATCGTCGAATGAAAGGGCCTGGGTGGATTGACATCATTTGTCCACGTGAGTTCAGCAGTAGCTAAAAATTTGTATTATTATATTTTTTTATCTATGATAGTTAAGATTTAATAGTTGATTAGTGTGAAATTTGTTAGTAGAACAGGTTTTGAAATGATTGAAAATCTCTTAAATCATGATTATAGGGATACAATACATACTGCAGTTTAATTTTTATTTACCTATGTAATAGAACACGAATAATTATGCAGGGGTATTTGAAAATATTATGCAAGATTTTTTGTGATAATACAAAATCACTCCCTAAAAGTTACTGTGTATTTTGTTTTTTAAATTAATATGTAAGTTTTAATTGAATATGGAATATTGAGTGTGAGAAGCTATTTTATGCATAATGATCTAAAATGATATTTTAAAAGTAGAAGTGAATATTCTTCAAGAAAGTCACAGATTTTTCTTGTACACTTAATCAAAGCTCTTAAAATTCTTCCCTTGTCAAACTTGTTGACATTAGTGCCATAGTGGCACATCTTCAACGACAGCCAGTATACAGTGTCTTTTTTTG